TTCAGAAAAGTCCACCCCATCCTTGGTGTTTAATTTTTTAGGAACTAAATAGGGGAAGGCTTATAGAATAGATCATCCGTTTTAGATTTAACAAATTGTACACACTTTTTTCATCTCACTGATGCCAATCTCCTCCAGGTAGCATCATTTATCCCACCCACTTCCTCCCTGTGTTTCTTGTTTCCATTCTTCCTCCTTTCCTAACCCTTCTGAACTTTGTCCTTGGGTAAATGCTGCCTTTGTGATCTCAAATTGTTGCTCATTCTTGGTGTGAGTACCTCACTAGTGTTGCTGTTGATCTGTCTGTTGATTTCCTGGAAATGGAGCCAGGCCTGAAATGTGACCTAGGTTCATAATCTCTCAGGGTTCCACCAATCTCTGTCTGACTAGCAAGCTTGATCTTTTCTATGATTTTGAGTTTTGTCCTCTGCTTTCTCCCATTCTACCTTTTGTTACTGTTGTGTGCTGTAGAGTCAGTTCCAACTCACACCTACACTGTATGGGGTCTCTGAGAGTGACTGGTGGGTTTGAAGTGCCCACCATGTGGTTAGCACGGTTAACAGGCCAGTGTTTACCCTGTAATGCCACACCAGGTTCCTCCTGTGTCTGAGGCCTCCTGATGTGATCCCTTTCAGTGCAGTCAGTAGTGGTAGTCGGGCATCATGTAGTTCTGCTATCAAGTTCAAGGAAACTTTCAAAGGTGGTCGTGGGGGCTCATTGTGAATAACATGAACACTCAGGAAATTCCCACAGTTTAGAGATTTCCTCCCAGTATCAGGGACAAATGCTGACCCATTCTTTTATTACCTCAAATCTGTTAAAATACTCGCATTTCCCCTTTTCTAGTTACATTTCCATATGAAATTGAGTTACCTTCTTAAATTTCAATGAAAACTCTCAACTGTGCTATCATTATTTAATACCACTGGGAGCCCACTCACGGCACTACCATTTGTCTGCCTACTTTCCCTGAAGGCAGGAGCTGTGATGTGCTAGTGTTTGCTTTCTCAATAAACCCACCAGTTGCTCCTTGAAAACCCTACACAGGTTGCTGTTTGAACCATCTCGACGACACTTAGCAACAACAACGTCCTCAGTAGACTCACACATAGCAGGTGAATCATACGCGTTTGCTACGTGAATAAACTCCAGACCTGTCCCTTTTTGTCAACACTCCATGTGCATCCCCACCTGGGTGTTTCAACTGGATAGTTTGGCTGTTCTTTTGATTTCTGTGCTACTTTAGTGCAGTTTCTTCTAAAATACTATCAGGCATTTGAAAATTGACCTATGCCAGTTCTGACTTATTTTTAACAGAACTATAAGTGGAGTCCTGGTGTGGTGCTCTAGGTTAAGCACTGGACTGCTTACCTCAGGTCGGTGGGTCAAACCTATCAACCGTTTTTCAGAAATCCTACACAAGTTTGCTATGACTTGGAACCAAATCAATGGCACTTCATAACAACAACACCATTAGTAGTGATTTAGTTCTTGGGAGTGCCCACAAGTGACTAATCTAAATCTTCTAGAACACAAAGATGCAGCAGTACTATTCATTTGTAAAGAGTCTCTGTTTAAACACTGAAGGATCACTGCATGTCAGTTTGTTGGTGTACATACAAGCTATGCAGGGACTTCTAAGATATGTCAAGGACTTTGACATGTGTGCTCATTCCTTTAAGATGACTAATATTTCAAAATGTGTGGATTCACATTTATTCCACTAATATTATTAAGGTTATAGAATGAAAAAGTTTTTTGTGTGTATGCCTGGGTTTTTTTCCTGCATTGGTTGAAGGAAAGAAATTAAGTTGGCTAAGAGCATATACATACGATCTCCCCCTGACAAGTTGTGTGCATGTATATGCACACATACATGACTCTCAAATTCATATACACATATGAGAGTGAAAGGAACAGAGAATTTCTGAGGTGGAGTTCACTACGTTCCAAGAAGAACAAATGGAGAAGGCAACATATTGGAAAAGCAAAAGAAAGGAAGTTATGAGGCCTGGGGATAATGACAGTTAATTCCTCCTAGCCATAACACAGCACTGTCAGCCCAGGACAGCTTTTTGGCTCTTGTCCAGATGGTGTGATATTACAGGGTATGCATGTAGTTTGGCTATATGAGCATGATTGCTGTCTCTTCTTGGGTAAGGTAGGGTGAGAACGTTCCCACTCCCAGGAAAAGAGTGAGACCAAAAGGACCAAAAACATAAACAACATAAAAGCAGAGACTTACTTAAACCACCACTCAAAAACAAAAATAAAATTGCAGTTGACTTTCCAGTAGCCTTTGCTGTGCAGGCAGGGATAAAGGGTCCCACCCAAGTCAACTTAGGGCTGGGTCCCAGAGTTAGATGTCATAAGAAGCAACCTGCAGGACCAGTGGGGCTCTCAGGGATCTCCTTTCTGTGCTGTAGGAAGACTGTGGGTGCAATATTGGACTGTTTTGTGGGTGTGCTCCCACCCACCTGAAGGTATCTGGGCTGGGCAGTGAGGACATGAGTGGAGAGAAGACAAAAGATAAGTGAAAAATGAAAAATAGGTCACACCTCTCCTTCCAGAGGCAGCTCCACAGCTTCTAGTGCTGTGTCACTGCCTCCAATTGGCTGTGGCCCTGACCTCCAATCTCAGTCCAGGCCATCTGATCGACTCAGAATTTGCCATATTTTGCTATCACAGTTCGATTTCTCCACAGGTGGACATGGGAAACTGACACCCGGAGACTTCTACAAGATCTAAAACTCTGGCTCTGTTCCACAAAAGCTCATTCTCTGTTTTTCCACACCTCCTCAGAGGAGTTTTTCCTACCTGTCTGTGCTTCACCCACCCCCAAACCAGAAGTACCTGTGTATCTCTATTTTGAGAACAAAACTTGATTTATCAGTACTCTTGACTTTATTAATAGTCTTTTGTAACATTACCTTGGACTCTTGGTATGGCATTGTAGGATCAGCGCTGAACTTCTAAACATAAGGTCGGCTGTTCAAACTCACCAACTGCTCCTCAGTAACTCTATACAGGATCGTCATGAGTCAGAACCGATTTGTCAACAGTTAACAACATAACATTACTTTGGTTGCTTAGTTATCAGAAAGGTGATTATGGTCATTATTAAAAGACTATCTTCTAATGAGGCTTTAAGTGGTATTCTGAAAATATCTGTGGAGTTGATATATAAATGAGTTGATGATTGTTGTGAATGTTGTAATTAAGTGCTAATGAGTCGGTTCTGACTCATAGCAACCCTGTATAGCATTTCCGAGGAGCAACTGGTGAGTTTGAACTATTAACCTGGCATTTGAAACCAACCTTGCAGTCCATTGCTGATCCTACAGTGCCACACCAGGACTCCAAGTTGATGACTCCACCAAAAATTTAAGGAGGGCCACAATAACCTGGCAAAAAATAAAATCACTATGTAACTGAAATTCTAAAAGGACTTTCATAATTTTTGAGTACCTTGGAATACTTGCAATAAAATATGCCTCCTTTATTTCTTTGTACATTTTGGTACATTACATTCCAAATGTAAAATTTATCAAACTTCTACAGTATCCACGAAGTTCCTCTTTTTAAAAAGAGGCATCTTCAGAGTATCAATTCTTTATTAGTTAATCCATCAAAGGCAACATAATTTAAAAATAATGAATAGAAAGCAGAAACATCATTTTGTTTAGACAGCGTGTGTAGATAATCTAGAAATCTCTCAAACTCTATCTTCTAAAGATGTTCTTGGCTGAGAGCTTTTCTGTTAAACAAATATAATGTAGAAAGAATTTTAATGCTTTGTACTGGGTTCAAACTGAAGGTATGGTAGTACACTCACTTTCTTTAATATAGTATCTTGGCTTCTTTGAAACATCTTTGTAAGCTGCAAAATACAAATAAAATTATACAAATGTGCTATAAAAATTAATAGAATTGTAATTCTTGAAGTCTATAAATCTTCTACCTTTTGAAAGAAATGCAAAAGATATGCCATAAAGAAAACAACTGAGGATGACAAAGTTTTCCTTTGAGAATAAAGAGAAAAGATAGATGTTTAGGAGGAAAATAAGTCAGGAGTCATTTTTCAGTTGAAAAAAAAAATTCAGTTGACGGAGTAAAACCTTGTACTTTTCCCCCAACTTAATAATTCAATTGTATTTTTGTGTTTCTAAAATACAAATAGTAATAACAATGATTATAATTGTTTTTAAAAAAGTGCTTTTTTCTTTCAAAATGTTATTAAAACTTTAGAATCAACTTACTTCCAAATTTAGTTTGATTGTTTTTTAACTAAGGGTCTTACTTTAAAATTAAATTCTTGCATCCAATCCAGGTTTATGAGGAGCTCTGGTAGCGAAGTGGTTATGAGTCTGGCTGCTGACCTCAAGGTTAGCATTTCAAAACTACCAGACATTCTGGGGGAGAAAGATGAGACTTTCTGCTCCCATAAATATATATAGCCTCAGAAACCAACTGACTCCATGGCACATAACCACCACCACCACCAATACAGTATTATGTTGTTGTTGTTGTTGTTATGTGCTATTGAGTCGATTCCAACCCATAGTGACCCTGTCTTTATAGGGTTTCTGAGGAGCAGCTGGTTAGCTTGAACTGCTGACCTCACCATTCAAACGGCTTTACAGTCTGGTGCATTCACCCGTAGCACCACACCTGAACTCCATACAGTAGTATTAATAGCCAAAATAGCAAGAGAGGCAAAGTATATTGTTTTATACTTGAATGAATACATAGTTTGTACTGGAGTGATAAATATTTCACAGATTATAAATTGTCAGTAAAATTTTTTTCAAAGACATAGATAATCTGACTGCATTAAACATACTTACACTTTAAAATGTCTGTGAATTAAGTCAAGTTTTACCTCAAACAGATGCAAAGAAATATGAAAAAATATATAGTTTCACCATATTAAAATCACTACTATCTGAGGGACTTTATTGACCAGAGCTTGAAAAACTGATCAACTTTTGTTTTTTCAGAGAGCACAGTCAGATGAGCTGGAAAAGATTGAAAAACACGGCAGGTCATCCAAAGACAAGGAAAACGCCAAGTCTCTGGACAAACCTGAACAGTAAGCATCCTTACCACCAAGTACAGGTCATCCACAGTACAGTGGTTTCATTCTGTTTGGAAATTGCAATGTCTTAAGTGCATAATTAGTATTCAATGATAGGAGGTAAACATCTGCTTTTATGAGTTGTATTTCTCCTCTGAACTTGGCTTTATTTCCTTAGGTTCCTTTATGAACTGTCATTAATCCCCAACTTTTCAGAGCGAGTCTTTTGCATCCTTTTCCAGTCAACATTTTCAGAAAGTATCTGCTCCATTCGTCGTAAACTGGAATTACTACAGAAATTGTGTGAGGTGGGTTCTGGTCCGTTTAAAGTAGAGGCTTCAGTTCGCGTATTCAGTCTAGTTCTGTCATGTTCAGATTTCACAGCATTTTCTCTTAGTTACTCTAAGGACTCATAAAACAGAATGGAGCATTTTATGATTGTGCTTCAAGATTAAAGCAAATGCTCAGATTGATCTGTTGGTCGGACTCCATCATTTGAATGTGGCCAATGCATATCAGCATCTAAAGAATTTGACCCTTCAGCTTTGGTCAAAACCTGAACGTCTCATACATCACACTTCAAAATGCTTGCAATTTAAAGGCATTTTATTTATTTTTGGAAGGGGCATTCAACACATTTTTTATAATTATTCCAACCAAATGACTTCAGAACAGATGATTCAACAAATTCGTATGATAACAGAGAATAAATGTTTTCTACAAGTTTGACAAAAATCAGTATTAATATTTGTTCTGGTGTGGCAAATCCTATTTTAAACTGGAAATGTTATTAAATTTAGAAAGTTTCAGAGGAAGTGAAATGCAAATTTCAAGTTCAACTTAGTTTTTTAGAACGAGTGAGCTTTTGGCAGAAAAATCCAATGTTGGTAATGAATCTTTATCACTTCCTTTTAGCTTTCGTTGTTGTTAAGTGCCATCAAATCGGTTCTCTCTCATAGTAATACTGTATAGGATTTCCAAGGAGTGGCTGATCTGCTCACCTTTTGGTAGCAGTCCATTGCTTATCCTACAGTGTCACACCAGAACTCCTATACCTGCCAAAATTTCATATTGCTTCAGAGGTAAATAAAATTAAGATGAGAGAAATGATACTATTTTGTAGTTCTCAATTCATAGTCTTGTGCTCTTTTGGGTTCATTTTGTTTATTTTTCATAATTCTATCATAGACATGGTGTTAGACTGATCTCTCTCAATTTACAAAGCTCCATCTGAATACTTATTGTGTGACTACTTTTAAAAGTTCACATTAGAGATACTGTTCTTAAAATGTACTTTATCATGAGCAATGAAAAGTTGGATTGTGACCCATAACTGTTAGTATACTATGAATCCCAGTTACAGAATCCTATAATAAGAGAAAAATGATTCTTCATATTGTTTTACAGACATTAAAAAATGGCCCAGGTGTTATGCAGGTTCTGGGTTTGGTTCTTGCCTTTGGCAACTACATGAATGGTGGAAATAAGACTCGGGGACAGGCTGATGGCTTTGGATTAGACATTCTTCCAAAGCTGAAAGATGTCAAAAGCAGTGTAAGTATTTCCCATGAATGAATGTAGGCAAATTGAAGATTAGATATTTGATCTAGTAATAGACTTGACTCAAAACTCATCATTTTGATTACTTTATGTTACAATGTCAATTGTTTCTTTGTTTTGAGATAAGGATCATGGTCATTATACTTTTGTGACATTTAATAATAATGTATTATTATTGATTAATTTTGAATTCCTTCCTTAATGAATAACTGAGTGAAATATATTTTTTAAATTGTAATTACTTTTTTTCAATACTGTCTTTACCCTGGCTGTCAATATTTATTTATCATTTTATATTCTAAAAGACTGATTTCCATGAAATAGACTGTATATCCATTATTTCCTTTCTTTCCATATTAAGCAGTGGATACCAGTAAATGCACAGTTTGGAAATTAAAACAACTTGAGTAAAATAAATTTGTAAATAAAATGTTGAGTACAAAATAATGATATTTCTACTGAAACATTTTTTTCGTGAAACTAGTATCTATGGGATTACCCAAGCTTTTTGTAAACCTAATTATTTTAAGATTCAACTAATAAAACTGTGCTTGTTTAAAATGAATATGCAAGGGATTGTGAGTGTGCCAATGAGAAATATAAATGAATAAAAACCAACCATGATGGTTAGAGTCACCATGTGTGGTTATAAACTAAGAAAATCAAATGATTCCTTTTCTTTG